CGGGGGCCGCCAGCAGCACTTACCTGCAAGCGGGGGCTCGGGGGGCTGCATGGGGCTGCCGGGTGGCCTCTCCCGGCTGGGCTGGCTGCCCATGGTGGGGAGTCAGCACCTTCCACCGGCCGCCAGCCTCTGACCCCACAGGCTGCAAGGGACAGTGAAGGTCAGGCCTGGCCCTGGCGCAAAGTGGAGCGGAGTGGGGGGAACAGGGCCAAGTGGGGTCAGGGCCTTGGCCACCCGCTTGCTGCTCCCGGGCACCAGTGACTGGGGCAAAGCAGCGATGTGAAGAAGCAGCTCCCCAGGGAGCCCTTTGAGGAAACCACCCGGCCCGCGGGGCAGCTGCCGCCAGTGGCAGCAGAAGGGAGCGGTGCCTCCCCTGGGCCGGGGCTGTCCCCGGTCACGGTGCTCCCCCTGCTCCCTGGCCTCCCTGCATCCCCCCACACCCCAGTCTCCCTGTGTCCCCTGTTCCAGTCATCCCAGGGCAGCCCAGGCGCAGGGTGCTCTCTGCTCACCCCCGCAGCCGGTGGCCATGAGGTGCCTGGAGGTCACTGGGACCCACTCCCTCCCCCAGTGTCCCCTACCTTGGGAGAGGAGCTGGACGGCTGCCCTGGGCGGCGGTGAATCTCACTTACCTGCTGCTCGGCGCAGCCAGCATCGTGCAGGAGTTGTCAGAGCCAGGCGGGTGCCGTTGAGGTGGTGCTGCGGCAGGAACTGGGTGGGTCCCAGAGGTGCCGCGGGTTCCTGGGGCGGCAGGCTGGGTGTCTGCAGTGCAGGGGGTGTCTCCTGTGCAGGGCAGCCCCTCTCTGCAGCTCACACCGGCTGCTTCCCCGTTCCCATCGTCAAAGCCTGGATGTTCTCAGGTGCTGGCACTGCTGCCGCCGTGGGGGCTGCATGAGGCTGTGGAGAGCCCAGAGGCGCCGAGCGCTTCCTGTGACGTGTGCGGCGGCGGGCGAGCGCCCAGCGGGGGAACGTGGCTCACAGGCTCACAAAATGGTCCTTCAGGAGCGCCAGAGACTGTGCCAATCCCAACAGGCATTGAACAGGGATCTCTGCCCAGGCTCCTCAATGGCTTTGGATGGACTCAGGCCCCAACCCGGCCATTCTGTTGAGCCACGGGGCTGTCTGCAGTGCTGTGGGCTCCCCCACACCAGTCTGGGAACGATAAGCCTGGGACAATTCTCCAAAGTGGTTTCATCCCCCTCATTTTAGGGGCCTGCATGGCAACTCGATCGCCAGCATGGCTCTGCTAACCCACAGAGACTCTCTCTCATCCTAGCATGCGGCTAATGCCACCTCCCAGCTCAGCTCTGTGTGTCTGCCAATTCCTAGTGACGCTCCTGGGGCGGTTGTTGCTGCTGCCCCATGGTGCTGGGCAGAGTGTTGGCTCCGCAGGGCCTTGCACGGTGCCTTGCAGCCCTCACCCCTCCGCAGGACCCACAGGGGTTTTCAAGCACTGAGCTGGGCTGCAGGGGTGCAGAAGGCCGGAGGCTGCTGCAGGGCCCTAAGCTGCTGCGAACGTGCTTGCAAAACCGAACTCCGGGCCACCTCCCCGATGTGAGCTGGGGGCAGTGGCGCACCCTGTCCCTGGCTGCATGAGCAGTGGCCAGGGCTGCTGGCTTGGGAGCCCGGGCATCTTCTCACTGCCCTGGCAGCACCGCAGCCACAGAGTGGGGATGAAACCAGCAGTGGAGGGGCTGGCGCTCAGGGCCTGTTGCGCGGCCTCCGCTTCCTGCTGTGCCTCTGCCCAGACCACACGCGGGGGCTGAACATCCTGCTGCTCTTTTCATGCTTCTTTTTTTTGTGACTTGCTGGACAGTCGGAAGCCACCGCGATGGGGCGAGGTGCGCGCTGGAAAACAACTGCTAATGCAAAAGCAGCAGCCAGCCAGGCCCCATGACGCACGTGAGGTTTTGGAGGCCTCCGTGCGCTGCTCGTCCTGTGTCTGCTGCAGCCAAAGGCAGTGCAGGCTGCGTGTCCCAAGGAGACCGACAGGGCTGCTCTGGCAGGACATGAGCAGGACGCAGCGCCCTCAGGTCACTGCCCGGTGCCGGTGGCACTGGCTGCGGTGGTTTTGTCAGCTCAAGCACCTCAGATACAAGGGACAGGGCGAGCAGGAGACTTCAAAGCAAGTCACAGCAAAGGTCTCCGGCAGGTGTTTGGGGGTTAATCTGAGGCAGATACTGTGAAGAGGGGCTGCTGAGGGCCATAGTCCACCCGTCTGCGCAACACTAGGCTAGCTGGGCTGCTCCAGGCGCTCACCCAGGCCGGGGGCCACAACCCTATTCTTGGAAGTATCACTGGACGGTGGGTTTCTGCGTAGCATTCGGCACCTGCCAGCACAACAGGAAAAGCCCACGAGCAGCATCGCTCCAGGAACCTCAGGCCACAGCGAGAACCACCTCGCTTCCGTCAGTGGCTTGGGAGAGCACAGAGCCGAGCGCAAGGAGGATGGCGCTGTGGTGCTGAAGAAAATGATTTGGAAAATGCCAGTGGTTGGGCGTTCGCGTGCGTTGCCTAATCCCAAGGTTTTGAGCAACTGAGAATGATGTCCTAAGAGCTTGGGAGCCCTGGGAAGTGCCACCTCCCTCCAACTGGTTCTGCACCTCTCCCAGGCTGAGCCCGGCCCGGCCCTGCTCCCAGCCTGAAGGGGAAGGTCTGGAGAGCAAAGTGCTTTGCCCAGGCTGACTCTACCCACCAGTGCTGCCTGTCATGGTGCAGGGAGGCAACAATGCGGCCAGCTCAAACAGCAGCAGGATGAGGGCCCGGCCCGCAGGCCAAAGCACAGCACCATTCGGTAGCCTAGGGGTGCCCAGCTCTGCGCAGGGATCTTAGCCAGCAAAGCATTTTGTCTGTAAGACTAGGTGGTCTCCAGCGGCCCCTTCTGCCCTCAGTCATTCTGTGTTCGTTCTGTGGTTAAATTCAGAGCAATCGCTCCCAGCTTGGATTCCGCTTTCATGTTTGATACTCATTTTTCTCCCTGGAGGAGGACTTTGAGTCATGAAACACCCCAAGTGCTGCCTTCAGTGCAAATCCTGCTTTCCTTGTGCCTTGGCACCACCATGGCTATAAAAACCCTCCCAGTCACCACCCTCTTCCCGGTGCTGAAGTCCCTGGTGTTCCCTTGTGGGAGCCTCCGTGCCAAGAGCTGGGGGTCGCCGTCTGGAAGGAGTTGCTGTCCGCAGCGGTGCTGAGCACCCAGCAGCTCCTCTTGTGTTGCTCATTCATTTCACTGTCATTTCTGCTGTTGGGGGCGGGGGGTCACCTTCCCTTTGGTCTGTTTCTGTATTTTCCTAAGGGAACCTGGGGAAAAATCCTGGGTATATTTATGTGTTGCTGCTTCTTTTTGTAGTTAACTGCCAGTAAAACCCTGCCCCCATATACAGGGTGTGTTTTTTTTTTTTTTTCTCTTTTGCATTGTTGGCTTTGCATCCAGCAACAACAATAAATAAATCTAATGGTCTGGTCTCTTTAACCTGCCCTCTGCAGACTCTTGTCTTCTCTAGCCCCAAATTTACATGTTTGGTCATTTAATAATTTTGTTATTCATTTATACAATTAACCCCCTTTTTTTCCCCCCACTTTTTCTCATCCCTCACGTTCCAATTTCTGAAGTCACCTGCTGCAGTGACCGCTCTTGCACCGAGATTTGTTGAAGGTCTAGCAAGGCAGGAGGTGCTGGAGCCCAGCCTCTAGGGTGCAGTAGCAGGACTGGGGTTAATTTAGAACCAACAAATTAACCCTTCTTGAATCCCAAGTAGCTTATGGTGAATGCAAGAGGATGGAGAGCAGAAATCTGAAAGCAAAACCTGGATCTGAAAAGCAGAAGGTGAAAATGCCGTTGTAGCAAGCACACAGCTGCTCTGCGTCGCTCCATGCGCGCCAGGGGAAGCCGCGGTCATGTGTGCCAGCAGCAGCCCAGGCTGCTCCGGGGACTGCAGCCCTTCCATAGCAATGCTCCTGCTCAGTGCCCTGCGCTATTTCCAAATGACCCTCTGCATTTCCATGTCACGCCAGCTGCCTTCTGACAGGGTTTAGGAGCAAACGCCGTAGTTAGTCCAGCAAAACGTGCTTGTGCAGAACACAGCTTGCCACAGCAAACTCCTCATGCTCTCCCCTCTCCCTGGACAATTTTCAGCTCTTTCTCTCCCTTGCGGCAAACCTTGTGCACAAGCACGCACGCTCTGCCGAGCTGGCACTTCGGTTTGGCTTTAGCAGAGCCCAGCCCTGCGAGGCCATGGAACAGCCTCCTCTGGGGCCACCACGTGCCCTGGGCAGCCTGGCAGCATCTGCTCCCGCGCTTGCAAAGGGGCCTCAGGGAAGAGGTGGTCAATGCCACCCATTCCCTGGGAAATGGTTCACCATGAATGCTGAAACCAGCAGCAGTGCCAGGTCAGCCCAGCAGAAACCACACAAGCAGACCAGGTAACAATGAGACTCAGTTATAGCTTTATTTAATAACCGGTACAAAGTCTCGCTCCAGCAGGGCCTCCGAGTCCCATTCCCTACCTGCAGTGGAGCGGAACCTGAGCGTGACCCTCAGCGGAGCCGGCTCGCAGCGAGGCAGGGCTGCTCCACAGTCGAGAGGATGTTTTGCTCATCTGCCAAGAGGCCTGTGTTGAGCCTGGCCACTGGTCCCTTTTCTCCCATTTAACAGCTACACCCCAGCAGGTGGCAGGCAGGTGCCCCGGATGCACCAGCTGCACGAGGGCAGCGGGATGGAGAGTTGATGACAACAGTGAGTGGTACTTGCAGGCAGGCGCGCTGCTCGCGCTCACGGCCCTGCCCGCCTTTGCTGCTCCCGCTTTGGGCTCAGCGAATGTTTCCATGGCCGCCCTGCCGGGGAGGATGGCAGCGGGTGGCAGGGCTGACAGCACGGGGGATTTCTGCATCTCCATGTGCCAGGGGGCACCACTGCCTATTTCACCACCTACTTGATGTTAAAGCTTCACTGGGGAAGAGATGGGCTCCTAACGAGCAGCAGGAACTCGGGGTTATCCTGCCTGCATCCGGCGCTCCTGCACAAGCTGCCGCAGGAGCTCCCAGTGGCTCAGCAGAGGCAGCCTGGCAGCCAGGGCTGCTGCTGTTCATCCCTTGGGCTCTGCTGATAGGGCACCTTGGTTAGGCTAACTTGCTAATGGTCTTGCCCTTTCCAGAGGCTCCGGTAAGAAACTCCTCTGCTCCTGCTTAATGCACATACACGATGGGAGCCCAAGAGCGTGTCTGACTGCTCCTCCTCCCCAGAGCCCGCCGGTGGCTCCGCGCGCTCCCCGGGAGAGCCCTGCCTGCCTCCCATGGTCGGAGCGCCCACCCTCGCAGCCCAGCTTTCCCGCGGCCGCCACACACACCGCACCACGCGGGTCCTTTAGCAGAAGCACAACTAGGAAGCAATTCTAAACCTCACAAAGCCACAGAAATTATATTTAAATGAAAGGGGGAGACAATGGCTGTTGTCTGGATTGATATACAGCACAGACAGAGGTGGTTTCAGCATGTACAGTAACGTGACTTACTAGGACTGCAGAATGTTAATGACATTTAAAGGGGCTCTGATGCCAAGGGCATACAGAAGGGACCAAAGTAATGTCAAGTACAGACTACCAGGGAGGTGGCAGCTCAGATGGGCATGCACAAGTTAGAGAGAACAGTTAATGCCAGCAGGATGAAATGCTAGATTCTGAGTGGGTTCAGTGGGGGCAACTGGAGTTGTCTGAATCCAGAAGAAGGGCTCCTGCTTAACAGGACACTTCCATGGTCTGCGGTGCTTCCTGGAGATCCATGGCGTCCGGGGTGCCCACGCTGCCTTCGCCGTGGGTGCTGGTGTGCGAGCGGCTGCGGACGCTCTCCCCGGAGCCCACGCTGGAGGAGGAGTGGGTGCGCGAGCGGATCAGCCTCGTCATGCTGGCTGCTGGCACTGCAAGGAGAGCACAGGGAGGCCTTAGCAGGGAGGACGCGCTCGGGTGCAGAGCAAGAATCACAGGCACTCACGTGTGTGTCGCTGGGTGAGCCCAAAAGAGCTGTACCCTCGGGAAGAAAACTCACTACTCACTGCCGAAATTTAGATTTTTGCACGACTAAAGCAACATGTTTAAGGCCCCATTTCAAAAGGTCCAAGGTGAACAAATGCCAGAGGTGTAACTGAACATTTGCAAGTGCAGTCACAGTGGGTGTCTGTGCAGACCAAGGCAGCTGTTGTACAGATGACCTTTTGAAAGTTAGTCTCTTGGCTCTAAAAAAACCAGAGAGCTGAAAACATGCACAATCAACAGAATACAAATGAAAGGTGAAAAACCATAGCATACACAGTGTACAATGGATCAGTCTAGCCCATAGCAGGTCAGCAGGACATGCTGAGACAGAGCAGTGCACCCGAAGAATCATTCAGCTCAGGACACAGACTTGGGCCAAGCTCGACGCACAGATCAAGGTACCTGACTCAGTGCTTAGGCGGCTGAGCTGCACATAAGGGACTGGAAACAACATGAGACAAGAAGGGATGAATACAGGAAAGAGCCAATTAGTTGCAGAGCGCGACCAGCGCCAGCACCGCTCCTGGCCCCAGCTACCTGCCCTTCCGCTCGCGGCTCGCACCTCGCAGTGGCGCTGCCAGAGGCTCCTCGGACGCATCCCAGGGGATGCGGAGCTGACTTGGCCTCCCCAGTGCCTCCCCAGCTGGGAAGGGCAGTGCCCGTGGTGACCCTGCCTCCCCACTGCACTCACATTCTCCTCAGGCAGGGGAGTTGGGGCACACTCTGCACTTCCAGACACTGGACATCTATCTGTGAGTGTGTCCCTGAGGTGACAGGGCAGCTTTCTGCTGCAAGGCAGTGCCTTTTACAGCAGCATAGCAGGGCCAACTGCTGCAGCCCACGTTCAGAAGTAACCAGAACAGACCTTGGGGAAGAGGCTTCTCCCTTCCTAGGAGTCACAGGCTACGACCTGCTCCTCTCTCGCTCCCCTGCTCTGAGGAAGGAGGCCTTGCTGGGCCACACTCAGCAGCTCTGGCAGCCTTTCCCGCAGAAGGGAGGAAAGTCGCTCTCTCTGGGACTAGCTACTAATCGGGAAGTGGAAAATGAGTCCTCTTCTTCTTCCAGCACTGCACATCCCATTGGCAAGCGATCTGAATCCCAAAGTCCTGCTGAGGCCTTTGCTCTGATGACAGCTCTTGTCAACTCTATTAACACCAGAGACAGGACAGTGACACTTAAACATAGAAATGCCCCAGTCTGCAGGGTGAGGGAGCCCTTCTCAGCTGCAGGATCAGGCTCCTTTGTCCAGCAGGAGCTCAGGCTGTTGTGCTCAGGTCACTAAACCCAGCCCATGGAAAAGGATCATTTCTCCGGAGCCCTGAACTCACCATTTGCCAAAGCCCCTCCACCAGGTGCAGGCCATAAGCTGGGGGGAGTGTCGCAGCTGCCACAGCGGCTACACTTAGTTGTTAAGCAGCCACATGAGCGGATCCCTCCTGCAATGCCAGCTTTGGAAGATTCACCCATGAGAAGGGAGTTCCTAGCCCTGGCAGGCAAGCTGAGGAGCTGTGCCGAGGTGCCCACCTTGCAGGCAGGCTTGGTTCAGTGCAGCAAGGTCTCCTCGTGCAGCCTGCGAGGTCCTGGAGCTCAGCCCCACGCGCTCTGCACGCGCACGGAGCGAGCAGGGCGTGCACTGCAGCACGGCACAGCGCCCTGGGCTGGCACAGTGCCTCTGAGTCACACAGCTCTGCCCTGCAGCGGCGGGCAGCCAGGCCGAGACACCACGGAGCCCCAGGGCAGGGAGAAGGGAGAGAACAGCTCCCATGCAACACCTGACTCCAGCTGCAGCACTCCACTTCCTTTCCCTCCGCAGGGGGAGGTAGCAGCAGCCAGCACAGAATTACTGTCTCCAGGGGCACGCTCTGCCCACTGCGACAAACAAGGACTTGCAATATTTTACCAGCCACAGCAAGCAGAAAGGGGCTCACCCCTCTGGCCTCAGGATTATCAGGGATTATACATCAGGGAACACCACAGGTTTGCTAACACTTCTTAGCACATCAGCTGGTTTGCTAGGGTAGATGGATCTCCTGGCAACCACACTAACTCACAGGTGGGGACACAGATGTCAATGGGCTCAGATGGACCAGAAAGGCTGAATTCCCCCACACCAACCCTGTTTCAAAACAGAAAATCGTAGTTGTCACTTACTGTAGCCCATTCCCTGCACAAAGTACTTGAAGGCCTCAGTCAGCTTCCCAGGCTAGGGACAGAGAAGATGAGGTTTAGTAGGAGCAGGGCAGGATGGTTTATACAACACAGTTCAGCTGAGCACTTCTTACCTGCACCACCTGGGGTAGGCCCCCGCAGTCTGCCATCTGCAACAGGAATGAGAGGCACGTTGAGCCATCCTTCCCCGCTGACGTCCCCATCCCAGGAGGGCAGCAGCTCTGTCCGCCGCACGCGGCGGAGGGAGCAGGCAGGGCACGGGCTGCCCATCTGCCACCGCAACCCCAGGGCAAAGCAAGACCTCAGGATGTATCGCCCTGCCAGTGGCTGCTGCTGAAGGCACCCAGCACCTTGGGGGCTGCATTACCAAGCCAGGTCATGTCAGAACCCAGAAAAAACCCTCCTGAAACACCTTGCTGTTCTCCCCAAACCTCGTGTTTCACCCTTCGGTGCAGTAGCTGCCTGGCTTAGTCCCACATCAAGAGCCGAGGATGGGATGGACCAGTCTGAAGCTAGAAAAAGTGACTTTTTGCTGCCAGACACCAGTGTGGGGACAGAGTAACTGCCACTTCACAACAGGTTTCCTGCCATTTGCTGGTTGAAGACAATAGAGAACTGGTCTTAAAGCAGGGAATCAGGGAACCTCTCACAAAAATCTCTGTTCTCCTGAGCCTGTCTCCATGCAGGAGAGGACATAGCCCTGAGGGACAGCGCAAAAGCATCTAAAAGCTAAATGGAGGGCCAGCACCTACATGGAGGTGGCCTCAGAGGCAGACTGGAATGATTTTGCAATGGCAGTTACCTTCAGAAGGGTGGTCTTGGTTGGGTCCAGCCGCGAATTGCATTCAACCTAAAATCAGAGGAGAAAAGGGGCATCATTCAGAAAGCCTCGAGTGGGATACAGCATTGGGCAGGGGCTGCAGAGCAGGCTGTGACGGTCCTCACCAAGGGCTGCTTCTACGGAACTGGGAAGGACTGAGCAAAGATGTAGGCACCATATAGGAAGAGTGACTGGAAGATGCAAGGATGAAGGGCAGGTGGTCCTGTCCAAGGGGACCTGCAGCGACAGCGTCACTGCTCTGAGAGATGGGGCTGTCACCTCAAAGGAGGTGTCCCAGGCTTGGGATACCAGGTTACCTTGCAGTGAAACACTGGACAGCTGCACTGGAGGGACGACTTCAGTGCAATGCAGGCACGGAGAAAGAGCACGTAGTGCCGTGGGGAGGCATGGGGCACGGCCACCTCTCCTCCGTGCACCCACCACACTCAGGCAACCTCAAGGGCCACGGCCTCATCAGCAGGGCACGTTACCGTGACCTGGAAACCCAGGCAGCCAGATGGGCAAGCCAGGCTCCAGAGAGACAAATCCCCTCCGCAGTTGTGGACTGGGAATCGGCAAGAACCCCCAGGGGTATTTTGCCAGCAAAATCAGAACCTGGCAGCCTCCTCTGACGTGCAGATTTTGTAGGTGGAACAGAAGACTGCCTAGCAGTCAGTGGGCCATAACCAGGCAAAGCCCCACAGCAGTTCTCCAGGCACAGCTCCCAGGCCCAAGCTGCTCCCTTGGGAGTCTCCTGTACCCTTCCACAGTTTCCTGAGGAAACTCATTTCATACACAAAACCCTGCTCACTGCATGGACTGGAGGGCAGAAGGCAGAGCCACCCCACAGCACCGCATCTGCAGCCGTGCTGGGAGGAAAGTGGGGGCTGCAGAGACTAGAGCAGGGAGGGGAAGCTGCTGGGTGCTGCCTGCCCTCCCTGTGAGGCCCTTCTTTGGCAGAGCTCTGCTCTCAGGGGTTAGATTTACACTGCTACCAAGGCAGCCTCAGCACAAGAGCAAGAGAACAGGAATTCCTGGCTTGAAGATGGAAGTCCAAGCTGCAGCCTGGCAGATCTCAGGGAAGGACACGGCTGCTGAAGGGGGCCTGTGCACCACTCCCTGAGCAAGGTGCTTGGGCGCAAGGACTCACCCCGGAACTACCCTGCAGGGCCACTGGGATCCTGAGCCTTGCCTTTCCCACCCGTGGCCAATGGTTATCAACAGCCAAGTGACAGGGAGCAGCTTTGGACACACGGGCGCATTTTGGGACTAGTTCTGGGCAAGACCCAAGCACCTGGGTAAGGCGAGTCTGCTGAAGGTTTGGTGGCGCTGATGCCTGCAGGTAGAGCACATATATACTCACCACGGCCTCCACCGCCGGGGAGCTGTCACCAACCACAAGCAAGGCAGGGCACCTGCCAAAACCCAGCGGGGACAAGTTACTCAGAGTGCCTCCACACACCAACCCCTGGCCAAAGCTCAGCAGCGCTCAGCACAGCCTCCCCCGCCACCACAGCATGGCACTTCGCTGCACCAGACCCTCCTGCAGCGTTTGCACAGGCAGCTGCACCAGCCCTCTTGCCCACGAGTGACCACTGCTGCTGCACGAGCGTGTTCAATGATGTGCTCAGAGCTGAAAGGAGCAACAGGCTGTGTTCTCGTGAACGAATGTCTCCACGTCAGGAATCTAACCACATCCAGCGGTGTTTCATGCCCGCCGAGGCTGGCTACCAGCCAGCACTGTATTTCAACTTCAATTTTAGAAACAAATACAAGCTGTGCCAAGAATATATTGAAAAATGCCATGATATTAAAGCCTCTGTTGACAATCTATGCCTTAATAACCATTTGGCATGTGCATTGGTAACTCTAGTGGAACAGTTAACATTTAACCTGTAAAACATCTCCAGAAGTCCATTGGCTAAGTGGCCATGAATTTAGAATATTTATTTACAGGCAAAGGCAAGAAAGCATCATACTAGAGCCCCACACACTTCTGTGTGCTGCTCAAATGGCAAGAATTCCCCTAGAGAGTCTGAGGCGCAGAGCAGAGTCAGTGAACTTCCTCTGAGAACGGGGAGCCTGGGAGGCACAGAGCCTACCAGCACAGAGACCCCAACTTGTACAGACAATACTTGGGGGCTTGACAGGCGTCTGTGAACCCCTTCAGTGGACAGTCAAGTGCTCTGTGGCTTAGAGCTGCCTGCAAGACAGACAGCAGCACTTTTGCTGCTGTAGGTGTCAGAGAAATTGCTTTGCCTGGAGGCTAAACCAAATCTGAATGCCAGATTCTTCCTGTGTTCAGAGCAAGGGGAAAAATCCCCGCTGTTAGTCCAGCCAATACCTAGCAGGTTCTGCTGTGCGTACCTAGGAACACATCCCGGGGCGGGCAGGAGCAGCAGTGCATGCAGTTGCCAAGGAGTGAGCAGCAGTGTTTGTGCTCTCTGCACAGCCTGGCTCAGGCGTCCTGCCTCACTGCAGCTCCCAGGCTCCACGGCCTCCATGTGCTTTGTGGTGCTTTGCCCCTTGGGCTCCCTTGCTTGCAGCCTAAACCTCTATGCTTTTAACTCCTCTTGCTGATGGCCACCAATTCCCTCTCCAATGCCTGCTCCTTCTCGGGTACGCCCTCCCCTCCACATACACTATCCCCTCTCACATAAATGAGTCTCTGCTGAAGCAGGGCTCTCCCACGCTCCACAGACCTGCACTGCCATCTCTGGCAGATACACAGGTAATTTTGGGAAGTGGAGGATGGCCTGTGGTGACAAACAAAAACCTGCCTCCCTAAAACCATCGCTCTAGGTTGATCTAGGAACATTTTTGGTTATCACACCTCAACATGAAAGGGGTTAATGACAAATACTCAGCAATCAACCGCCAGCCAGCGCAGCACATTGCAGTGTGGTGTCTGGCAGGATACACCTGGCTCCCATCACCCTGCTCTCAGGAGAGCCCTGGCACATTCTCACTAGCATCACTGCAAAGCACCGCTCGGCCCTGCTGAGCTGCTGGCAGCGCATCAACACCGGGCACTGCATGTACAGCCTTTCCAGTGCTGCCACAGCGCTTTGAGCAGCATTTCTACAGAAGGGACTTCCCAGCATTGCACTGGTATATACGTTAATTCGCGGTCACTTACTTGAGTGTTTTTGCTGTATTTTCATTGATGCCGAGAACTGGTCTCTCAATTTCCAGGTCTTTACGGCTAGAAGACAAAGTAGAACAATTTTCCATCAAACCAAGAGAGAAAACTGATTACAGTGGGGCATTCAAAATCCAACTGTGTGCTAACTGGCACCTGCGCAACAGGTTATCACCCTCTGTGTGGTGCCACGAGCAGAAACGGCTGGAGAGCTGCAGCGGTCACCATCAGAAAATGGGATCTATGCACCGTGTTCAGAGAGAAGCTCGGGTGAATTCTCAAAGGTGCATCCCAGCATGAGGCAGAGCTTGGCTAGGCATAATGGCTGAGAACTAAGCTGGTATAAGATCATTCAGAATAATGCGCAAGGTCACAAACTACTGAGCAGGTAAGTTTCTGTCCCGCTCCCTCTTGCCATTAGCTCTCTTTGTCCTTGGCACCCAGGGAATGGCAGGGAGGGAACGGGCACAATCCTGATCCCAGCAGCACAAAGATGTTCCTTACCTGTTGTATGAGGTGAGGAACAGCTGAAGGTTGTCTTGGTTAATGTCCTGTGCAATATGCAGCCTGTATGTCTGGATCAAATCTAGATTTGCTTGCAGTTCCTCCTGTCAGAAGGAGGAAACAGAAGAATTGAAAGATAAGGAACAGTGGCTTTTTTACATGTAAAATTATGCAGAAGAAATGATCGTCATAAAAATACTGGTTCCACATACATCATTCACCCTGGTGAACAATAATGCACAGGACAAAGTCCCCAAGCTACATTAGCAGCTAGGCTACACTATATGTATCCACAACACGATGCTTGAGTGCAATCCAGAGTAATATGACTGTATCTTTACAAACTGTAGGCCATATGATGCCTCTGGGTATAAAGTTATCATTCGGATGGTGGTCTGTTGGCTCCAGAGCCTCACTAATGCTTATACAGCCAAATTCTTTCGGCTATACAGTTTTCCATTTAGGATTGTCAATAAAGAAGCAAAGCTTTATAGGCAAGCCCCAAGATCAGGATGAAAGTCTCATTCCATCATCCTTTCTATGAAGAAACTACATTCTGAATTAAGAGAAAGAAAAGGAAATGCAAGAAAATAAGGAAGAGGCCCAAAGGCGGGACGAGAACAGCATGTGCTCTAGGCAGCAGGAAGCTCCGGGACCCCCTCCAGAGCTGATGGGCGATGTTACCCGAAGGCTCCAGGTCAGGGACTATCTGCTACAAATCACACACCACATGCACAAGGCACAAACCCTTCCACTGCCCCGGCAGCTTGCTGGATGGGAGCTAGCAAATTCCAGAGAGAAAGTTTGGCTGCAGCACCAGGCACTCGGGAAGTGCTGATTTGCCCCTACTGAAACCGAGATGGAAGAGGATGAGGACAGCGCTGCAGCCCCGCATGTGGGGACACACACACACACACACACAAACACTCATCCGCCGGTGGAGCCCTGGCACGGCGGGGCTCCAGCAGCAGCTCCGCATGGCTACACAGCTATAGAGGACCACGAGCCACCTGCTCGTGCAGCCAGCCGGCCAGCAGCACCAGGAGAGCATTTCTGCAGCACCAGAATCAGGGACTCTGCTCGCTCCCCAGAGCCGCAGCGTGGAGAGGACGGTGCAGGCACTGCTCCCTCACGTCCGCACGGCTCCGCAACGCGCGGATGCAGCGCCCAGCTGTGGCAGCCCTTGCTTGGTGGATTAGAGCTCCTTCAGAGCAAGTGCATACAAGAGCAGTCCCTTGAGCAGTAACACGGGCTGTAACGGCTGCTGGTTACTCACGTGGCCGAAGTGGTGTGCCAAGACAATGTCCACTATGTTGGTTGTCCAGCCTGAAAACTGAAGAGGAACCATGAATGAGCAGGAGGGAGAAGAACTGGAAAATGCTGTTTCATTGCAAATTCTAGATCAACTCCTCAGATTAATGATAATGAGGAAAACTATTCAAAAGACATTACAAAATAAATGTCTTTTTTGGGGGAGGAGGGTGGTGCATGGGTGGGCAAATCTCCTAAGCAGCCCATGCAAGCTCTCCAGAAACTTGGAATCATTAATAACTCCTATTAAGTGTCTGGAATAACAGAATGATTAAAAGATCCATTCAACCTCAGCCAAAGGGGGCCTGCAAGCACAGCCACTAATTCAGAGGAAAAGTGAATACTCAGCAGCTCCTTATCTGCCTCTGCACAGTCACACCCACACCCGCTCCCGCTGCAGAAGCTGCACTACATCCAGACTGAGGAAACAGCAGGGATGGCAGTTTTGGCCATAAACTGATGAATGCCTGTACTCTGTCCTTTCTCTTCTTACTCTACATACTGTTCATTAAGCAGGAGATGCACAGGGAGAGGAACATCTCACCTTGGATGCTGCCCAGTCGATCCAGCCCTTCGCACACGGGTCAATGTTAATGAGCACAAGTCCTTCCACCAAGTCTGGGTGCCCGAGCTGCAGGGAGAGCACAGGCACGCTGAGCAGGACGGCACAGCGGGGCCAGGGCCGGCGTGGCGTCCGCAGGGCTTCCTGCAAGGCCAGGCCTTCAGCAGTGGGCTGCTCCAGGCCGGCTGCAGCAGCCTCCTCAGAGCAGAGCAGAAGCAGCCTCCAGCCAGGCCCAGCTCCCTGGAAGGGCCGCGCTGGCGCGGAGGGAGCCACTGCTCACACGGCACCCGGGGCTGAGCGGGCCTCAGCAGAGACTGCTGTGGGCCCAGGAGCTGCTGCAGCTCAGCAGTCCCCGCTCAGACCTCATGTACCATAGGACTGTAAGCAGGGACTTTGTCTGCTCCACTTTGGCTAGGCAGTACTCAAATTCCTGTGCCCCAAGAGCACCTCCTTCTGCACCCTGAGGACAGGACAGTCTTCCCTTAGTGGAGACCTCTGCACCCCTGTGACAGAACCCAGAGAAAGGGATCCGTCCCATCCCGAAGGCCTCGTAGCAGTGGAGAGCTGCCAGGCCATGGCATGCCTGGCTCCAACACCTCCACACAACACCTCGATTCACAGCCCCTCATGGTCAAGGCACTGACAGAAGGGATGCCCCAGGTTTGGGCATCATCCAAAGAACACAAGGGCAGCACACCCACCCTGTGGTCCTTTCAGGTCCCCATCTGTTTGGGACAACCACAGCAACATCAAAAGCTCCTGAGAAGTCATCCCATCTCTCCTGGGTCCACATGCTTTCAGCTTGCATTTCCCACCTGGCATGGACCCCTGAACTGTTTCCATAACAAGCTGTGGAGGCTGCCGTAATGACACGAGTTGTGCTTCTAGGCACTAAACTCGAAGACCAAACCAAACACAAAGCTTTAGGCCAGCAGTGGATATCAACACTGACTGCACGGAAGGGCTGTGCTGGGGCTCTGCCCCGCGTGCTGTGCACCACAGCAGATCGGAGCGCAGCCCCACATACACTTCACGGAGCTGATCTAGTGACCTCCTCTTTACTAAGGCTGCTAATTGCACAAGATTCACAGGACAAGGAGCAGAGCAACCACCCGCCACCGGGACTCCCCTCGGCTCTCTGCCCAAACACAACATTGACTAGAGGAAATGGGAACCCCAGAACTTGTTGGAGGAGGGGTAGCTGTGAGATGCCCAAGTGGCCGCCAGCAGCTCCATGTGCTCCTCCTGAGACTGTCCCTGAAATATTCAGGAGGTTGCTAGGAGCTGCACGGTGTTCACTGACTTCACATGCTTATACACCCTCTGCAAGAGAGAAATGTATAATTGATTAAGAACGCAAAGCTATCACCTTCCTCTCTACGGGAGGAGTATGAGATCCCCTTTCCAGTCAGTGGGAAAGCACATTCCCCATCTCCCTGCAGTGCTGGGTCACAGCACCACATGAATTATTTGGTGTCACAAACACTGGAATCAGCACACAATAACACTGCCAGGGGATGTGAGCCGTGCACAGCTTCAGTTTCTTCTACAAATCCATAACTGTTCTCAGCCTGGATACCCCCAGCAGCTAGGATGGAGCTCTGCTGACTCACAGACAGCGGTCTCAACCCCACCACGTCTACCTCACAGCATCTTTGGCTGCTCCAGTTTAACCATCTGGATGGGAAGCAGCTCTCGGGGCCCCTGCTTGCCTGCTGTAATTACTGCTGCTTTGCCTGTGCCTCACAAACGATCAGTGGGAGACGGGAGCTCGTCCAGGTCACAACACAAGGGAATGAAGACACTTACCGCAAACCTGCTGAGGACATAAGCACCAGCTCCCAGGCCAATCCCAATGATGCTTCTCAGGCTGAAACACAGGCATTTCACAATCAGCAAGGCTATCTCAAGCTCACAGCCGAAGCACCCCAGAGGCAAAACCTTTCCCCTTTCTGCATCCGTCTGTTCACTTATGGCTCATTTTGAAAACGGTCCAGCAGTGATGCAGCAGCCATAAACTGTCTCAAGGGGCAGAAAATGTTGCCAGCACAAGAACCAGACAGGGTTACTTGGGTTAGGAGGTGCTCAAGCCTCTTGAGACAACTCCACGAGCATAGGAGATGTTGCAAGCAGAGATACAGGGAGGTGCAGGAATGGCTCTAACCAGTTGCTCACCCTGTTTCCTTTCAGGACTTACTTCAGGTGTGTCAGAACAGCAGGGAGCATTTCAGCCAGTTCATCCATACTGGGATACTGGTACCTGAAAGTCAAGCAAAGCAGAAATTAAAGCACCTCCAAACAGAGCTCATCAGAGGTTACCCCCAAGTTCTACCCCAGGGCAGGAGGAACTAGGAGCACATGCCAGGCATGTGTACAGTACTAACTGTGCTATGACATTACAGCCCAGCCTGCAGCAGGGCTCACACCCTAGCAGCAAGAGGACAAGAGCTCCTGAGTCAGAACGCTGCTGCCGGCAGTCGCCGCTAGCAAGGGCCTAGCCCAGGCCGAGCCCAGGTCGGGCCCAGGCCGCAGGAGGGCTCCCTGGTGGCCCCAGCAGCCTCCTCTCCTTCCCGCCTGCTCTGCTCCAAGGCGCCTCCCGCCCAGCTCCGCCTGAGTCTCCCACGGGCAGACAGATGCACCCACGTCTGGGACTGCAGGGAATGTCCGGAGTTCTTACCCAGATGGGAACGGGGGGGCTCCTTCCTGTTGCCCGGGTGCATCCACGTGGCACACAGCAAAATGCTGGGTGATCTCTTGCATGTCCTCAAAGTTAAAAAATGCATTGAAACAGGATTTGTCTGCAAGAGGAAAGCGAGACGCTCACTAAGATCCCCTGCAGGCACTGGGGCCCAAATCCCCGTGAGGCTGACACTGCTGCATGGCCGAGCCGTGGGTGCTGGGGGCTGCACGGCTCCCAGCAGAGCACCCAGCAGCCGCAGGGCTGGCAGCCCAGACAAGCGACGGCCCCAGACGCAGGCCCAGCACCGCGGGGCCTTGCGGGCGCTGGACCCCCTCGGAGCGTCCTGGGGGCACCTGTGTGAGCACAGCAGCAACCTGGGCTGAGAAGAGCTGCGGGAAGAGCAGCTGAGGGGCTGCTGCCCTAGGAGCACTACAGCAGCCTGCTGGCAGGGACCTCTCACCTGCCCAGCCTCCGTGGGAAGAGATGCTTGGTGGCACCTCATGGTGACCAGCTGCGTCACACAGTGCGGCAGGGCAGCTGGAGCCACCGCGGCCCAGCCCTGCTCCTGAGGGCTGTGGGACACAGGAACGCGCCAGGCGCGCTCTCAAGCAGCCCTGTCCCCAAAGGAGCTGCCTCATTTCAGCTCCAGGCCAGGCCAGCTGGTGCCCACACTCGAGTGAAGGTACCGCGAACAACAATTTATTGGGAATCTTGCTTAAAACTGGCCTTTCACACACTCTGCAAGCAGACCTGGCTAAGGACACATCAAAAGCTTACGGTTGAGGCCGATGTCATGGTACGTGAGGATGACGGGTCTGTTCCCCTTTGGAATGCCCCGCATGGTGACGTGGACCACTCCAAACGCTGTCTCAATGTCATGTTCCTGCAGAGAGAGAAGCAGCAATGCCACCACTACATGTGCTGGCTGGGCTGCAGGGCGGCGTAGCCAAGGGCCAGCAGCAAAAGCCTCACGCGCATTTTCCATCTCCTTCCCTATCCCAATAGGATGGCTCCCCCCTTGGCCATGGTCACAGCTGACCACAAGTCTTCTTTCCAAAGAGCCCCCGGGCGCTCCGTGGCCTCCCAGCAGCCGAGCAGAGCCGAGTGGAGCTGCCTGGGCCTGGGCGCACGTGAGCGCCAGCACCGCCTCAGCAGCCGCAGCGCTGCCCCCGGGCCTCTGCCTGCTCTGCCGCTCTCGGGGCCATGTGGCCAGGGCGGCGCCGGCTGCAGCTCGCCTCCAGCCCGACCTGGCACGCCAGGGAGTTCTGAGTCACTGTCTGTACCATAGAAGACCTTCCTGCTGCTGCCAGATTTGGTAACACGATAGTAAAAACACCCGTGGGCCCCTCTGGCACCTGCACAGACACCGCAGGTTGCGCCGGTTTCCAGCCAGGGCTCTGCAGAGCAGCATGTAGAAACGATGGGAAACAATGGGAAACGATGGGAAACGACGGGCTTCACAGGCGCTCGCTGCCAGGCTACGTGCTTCCTCCCAGCAGTTTACCGAGAGTGCTTTGCATGGGGCACAAGGGATCGAGAGGAGCCCTAGGCACAGCCCTGCCATGCAGGCAGCACCAGCTTGGAGGGATGGAAACAGGGAGCGCCATGAGCGCAGGGGCCCGGTGCAGCGTGGCTGCTCGTACGGGTTACTGCAGAGGCTGCCGGCATGCAGGGCCACGGCGCCGCCACTCCCGCCCTACCTGCAGGAATCCAGGGAGACGAATGTTGCCGTTTGCTCATCTTGCCCCTTCCTCCCCCTACTGTCTTCTCAATGTTAAAAAAAAGGAATCTATTTAGGGAATTTGCTCTTGGTTGAGCCTGAAGACAGAACATTGTAACCTCAAACGTATTTTTTACTAGATTATACAAAGTGTGTGAATGTACAAAACACTGTCTTTTCCAGTAACTTGTGCTTGGAGAAGTACAGAACAGCTTGAAGCACCTGGCTTGCAGCACACAGAAACCCATCTCCCCCTTCTCTGGAGATCCCCGAGCGCTCGCTGTGGGTCAGCTGCATTCACCTCTTCTACTGACAGATCCTCCTCTCTCCCTTCTTCCCGGGGGCTCCGAAGCCTCCTTCCTTCCCCGCAGAAGTGTCCCAACAGGAGCAAGCTGCCATGGCCACATCATCCAAGGCGGCCTGAAGCCTCCTCTCCACTTGGCTTTGAAGGATCCTCAGAGAAAGAGGCAGCAATTTCTCTGTGGTGCTGATCACCCCTGGCTGCGCTCTTCTCCTCCAAGCAGCGGGGCCTTCCTTGCGCCTATCTACTAAAATGCACACGTGGAAGAAACCAGGAGTCCCTGGAAAGCAAAAGCTGCTGACTGCACCAAGCGCCGGTTGCTCAGCCCCAGCCAGCGCGCTGCTCTCGGCACTTGCCGGGTCAGCAGGCGCTAGCGAGTCCTTCAGCAAGAGGTGGCCAAGCCACGCGGCACATACGGACCCCGCGAAGAGCCAGCAGCCCTGGCGCAGCCCTGCACGCACCCAGGCTGCCTACCGGCTTCGTGCCACGGAAAGTGGGTGTCTGCCAGCAAGGGCTGCTGCTGGTCCCTTCCATAAGCAGCTTTAACTACTGCTGGCACTGGCCGCTGACCTGGCAGGAAACTATCCAGCTTGCCCTTTCTTTCCCTTTTTATTTATCTTTTCAATCCTACTTTGCTCATTTCTGCCTGTCTCTCAAGCACTGGCGGCGGCTCCAGGGCGCGGGGCGCTGGGAGCAGTAACCCTGCCCGGAGCGCACGGCTGCGTCGCAAGGACTCACCCGTCTCATAAACCTGCTCCTCCCAAGGGCTGTCGCGTGTTAGCTGCAGCAAGCAAAAGGTCAGCTATCAAAACAGGAGCACGAAACCCCACCAGAGCAAGCAGCAAGAGCAGCACGGAAACCAAAAAGCAGTTGATGACATAGTAAAAAAATATATACGTATAGTATCAGCAGTGCAATGTCTTTTCTGGAATTATCTTCAAGCTGACTATTAGTGTAAACGTGCACTTCCACTAGGAGGAAGACTTAGACAAGGCACCAGCAGCAAAACTCCCACCTCTCCTCAGACCGTTGACTCAAGCAGCTCAGGGCGCTTCCCATGCATTTGCTGCATGCTGCATTTTTGTGTGCTGAAAAGCTGAGCTTGGGGTGAGCTCTCTACACGGGAAGGAAAAAAGTTGCCTTGAGCTAAGGAGTAGTCATTCCTCTCCCACTTACTTTTGGCTTTACGCGCTGGGCAAAGTGACATTCTGGGAAATCAGGGCTTACTGAGAAGATGTTTCTGAAGGCCCAAGAAGCCCCCGCACCCGTGTGGCCGGCCGGCCCGTGGCTCACCCCGCACTGGCATTAGCACTCCTGCAGCTGCCCGCTTCCTTGCGGGATTTTTCACTTCTCCATACCCTGCCTCCCACCAGCAACATCTAGAGTCCCTTTAATCCTGTTCACAATCACATCAGGGCAACATCCCATTAAGTCGAATCTCATCAGCAAAAGTTACACAGAAACTTCTATTTAAACCAAGAGATGCCTTAGTACAGTTTAAACCTATTCCATCCTGAATTAAGCCCAAATAAGTCATTCAACTAAAGTAAATGCCCACAGAGGAGAGAATACAACTTGAGAAAACCCAGCTTCCACAGCCCTTAGTAACACGCTGAAAGATTTAGGATGCTACCAACTTCTTACTCTGGCCCACGGAGTGGCTCCCTTCTTCCCTAGTGGTACAGCCGTAGAGCCGCGAGCGACGGGCGCTTCTTGTCTTGCTAGTCCCCTGACAAGTTGGGAATCCTCCTCCCTCAGCTGCTTTCCCCAACTAAATCCTTTCGCCTTTAGAAAGGGGGGTTGGAGCTCCAGAGCACAAGCAGCAGGCCTGGCTGCGTAGAGCCACCCACCACAGCCCCACGCTGACCTCCTCGCAGTTCCTTGGCAGGTTCGGCTCAGTTTTACCCCTAAGTCCCCTTCATGTTTCCCAGTGCCAGGGAACTTGATTTCCTCTGTAACCTGCCCGGTAGTTTTAGGGCTTTTATCTTGATCTGTGATTGCAAAGGACAAAAGTGTTGTCAGGTGTCATAAAGTTACGATTTCCCTGTCACCCACTGCTCTCCAAAACAGCTCTCCCAGATACCGAAGCCGAGGGATAGCACGAGGCAGATGCTGGATATAGAGCTTAGGTATCAGGCTTATGATGGCAACACCAGTGATCCTCTAACCTGGCAAGATGCAATCACTTCCCTAATTGCCCAGGAAAGGCAGAACAGGCCATTACTTGGCGAGCGGGTTATGAACACGGAGCAGGTAACGCGGTTGCCACAGCGTGGGGGGCCGCGGGGGAGCGAAGGGCGCTGGAGGCCGCGCTCTCCCGCACGCGCCCCGGCCTGAGCGGCCGCCTGCCTCCTCCTCCTCCCCGGCCCACGGCTCAGGGACGGCTCCTGCCCGCGCTGGTATTCCCGGACACCGTTTCCTTCGCTTCCCTTCTCCAGCCAGGCTTCAACACGCTGCGTCATGTGGCTTGTGAGGACATTCAAGGCTGGTTACCTCGCTGCCGCCTAACACCAGCTACAGTCTGAAGAGCGATCGGGTTTGGAGCGAAGGCAGCAGCAATGGGAGAAGGCAGGCGAGGGAGACGCGGCCAGGAGGCAGCTGCACTTTTATCAAACACGTGTTCTGCAAAATAAGCGAGCTGACGGCAAGAGAAGGTGGCGATCAACTCTTTGGTTTTGAGTTGCTTGATAATACTTAATTTTCGCTTGAGGGCTGGAAACTTTATCAGCGGTTTCTCTAAAGAGATTGTATCTTTTACACTTGGTGGTACAGCAGGTGAAAACACCAGCAGCTGCAGACACTGCTGCAGATAGGAACTGTGCGAGCGGTGGCAGCTCCGCTCTCAGCATGGGACTGGACGCATGTCCTGCACGCGCAGCTGCTGCTCACGGTGAAACCCGGGGCTGGAGAGTGTCGCCCCGGGCAGCGGCAGCTCCCTGGGGCGTGCGCACCAGGACACGGCGCAGGCGGCTGGAGCCCCGCTCTGCAGCTGGGCACCAAGGCGCCGTCCAGCCCACGAGCCTTGAGCGGAGCTTCTGGAGCAACGAAACAGCTGCTACGTCCTGCTGCTTCCTCACCCGCCGTCCTGGTAATGGGCTTGCTCCCACTCCGCTTCCTAACCCTTTGCTGTGTGTGCGGCAGAGGTGCAGCCTCACCCTCAGGAGTCGCTGCGACGTTCTCTCCGTGCACACCCGCTCGCAGGAGTCGAAGTCTACCAGCGCACGGGGCATGGAACAACAGTTTCTTCTTGCCCCACCTCACACCTGTGTTTTATGCGAGATCCCAGTTTTGGAAGATGGGGAACAACCAACCCCCTTTCCCAAGTCCTGGGCAGCGACGGCCTGTTGAGACCTTATTCGTGTTCCCGAGCTGATGCCTTCAGGCCTGCGTGCCGCTCCTGCTTCGGCTGCCTCTGTTCCCCATGCTGGTGTTCGCCCGAGCCGCTCTCCCAGCAGCGCCCTGGCCGGTTGTCCGTCCATCCGTCTGCGTGGCGCCGAGGCCGTGGGGCTGCCCTGCACCCCACCGCAGCACGAGGACCTTGCTTTGTTCGCTGGTCCCCACTCGCAACAACTGATTTTTCTTGCTGAAAGCTCTGAGGCCACAGCTGACAGTTTCACTCCTCTCTCATAACTTTAAGGTCTTACTCCTCTGGGTTATCATCAGCCCCAATGGGGCCCTTTCACGCCCCGCTGAAGGACTGGTTTACTCAATGCACATACTGTATATTTATCCGGAGGCGGATGAAGTTGATGATTCCAGCAACACCTTTTTCAGGCCCATAAGAACAGGTTAAAGCAGCACAGGTCAGAGCACAGATCTCTTCGGTACTCCACTAGTGACCTCAAACTACTGCGAAAATGAT